ATCCAATATCAAGTGATGATCAAGCTCTTCCCAAAGGCCTTCCAGGGTTGCAAAATATGTTGCCACGGACATGTCYCCTTGCCTTAGAGCTGCAATATCTTGGTTCAATCTGTAGATTCTAGCATTGTTCTTTTTCTGGCCGTAGGTCTTGGATACTTTCTCCCAAATCTTAGTGGCTGTGGGGAAATGATGAACAGTTCTAGCCACTCGAGGAGTCATGGAGAATGGAGAAAATAAGAAAGGAAGAGAACAAATTTGAAGAGAGGCTAAAAAGTGTTGGGTGTGGCCTCTTCATTAATATTTAAGACTAGTACATGATAATTTACATTTTAACCCTCCATTAGTAATTTAGTATAAAATAATGGTAGACAAGGATGCCTTATATAGCCTCTCAACACTCTTCCAACTTCGGTCGAGACAATCCCTTAGTCAAACAATTGTGTTACTTGATTCCATAAATGGTAAACAAATCTCTCCATGGTTTTTTTTTTCAATATTAATAGCGACTTGGTTGTCATAGAACTTCATAGGACGATCAAAAATAACTCTTAATTACGTAAGAAGAGCCTTTAACCATAGCAACTCGAAGACTCCATGAGCCTATACTCTGCTTCAGCACTTGATCTCACCACAACAGACTGTTTCTTGCTCTTCCAAGAAACAATATTATGCTGAGTTGAAATGACTTGAGTTTGCACTTCCTCCAAGTGTTTATTGAATTGAATAATTTGTTTAGACATCTTGAGTTGATCACACTTAAGCTCCTTGATCAAAATCATCAGTTGTCTCTCCTTTCAATTAGAGTGTAGAAGAATCACATCACACAACTCCTTTGATATAAAGAAATCATCTTTTGGACCTTATTAGGCATAACACATCTACATTCATGATCTTTGTTCATCAATAACGACAGTGGTCTTTTTTTCCACTTGCATCGAGGCATCAACCAGAACAAGGTAATCAGGAAGCTGTTCATTGAACCTTTCCATGACAGGAATCTAATTTTCCTTATCAACATGCAATATAAAATTTTTGAGTTGCCTATTTTGTCTTTCATTTCCTTCATTATCATGATTTTGATCATTGATTTCCTTTTTCTCCTTATAACAATTCATATGTGCCCAACCTTATAACAATTCATTCGGTACTTGGGTATTTGTTCATAAACGACCTTTTGCTAAAAACCATCACTAGTGCCTATACAAAACAATCAGGTTGCTTATTTAGAAGGTCTATCTCAATTAGGCCTGTAAATGATACCTGAAAATCTGTGGCCCGATCTGACATTTGATCCAACTAAAATCCAAATCCGATTATATTATAATATATATAGATTTTAATATATTAATTTTATGTATAAATTTATATATATAAAATAAATTCAGTATGTATATTTACATTAATTTTTTATATATAAAAGTTGAAAAGTAATTAACTTTTTAATTTTTTCATATTTTAAAAAATTGAAGAGGAGTTAGATTAAATCTGATTCTGATTCCGAGTCCGTTACGATTCAAATTCAAATCTGAGGACTTCAAATCCGATCAGAATTTGGATCGAATTCGTATGCACATTTTCAATAATCGGATCAGATTCAGATTTTGCTGAAGCCGATCCAATTACAGCCCTAATCTCAATACAAACCCAAGCTGCATTTATTTGAGATAGAGTAATAGTTGCTGGATAAAACTTAAACACCAGACCTATAGTGTGAGCAATCAACTGAAGAAGAGTTTCAATGTATAAGTTAATTGAAAGAAACAGAAAATTGATCTAGACTGGCAGTCTGTCACTATGGATGGTTCCCTTCTAGGTTCAAAATCCATTTGAATAATCTAAAAGGAAATGATCTAATCTTGAAAGATTCACAAAGACAAACTTTAAGAAATTGTTTCTAAGCAGAGAACCTAACCAGAATACCATTCGTATCAAGAGGTGAAGGGATGAGAGATCCATCATATGGATGGCCGAACCCTGCAGGAAGGTTGGGCGAAATTTCAAAAATTTCTCTCTTCCATCTGGGAATCGCATTCCCTATTTTAGAAAACTGCATTTTCAAGGATCAATCTTGAACCAAAACCGGACCAGATCTGAAACCAAAAGGAGGAGAGGGATATACCTAGTACGAAGTAGTAGTAACTCCCAATGAAGGTGTTCACACACAAGGAGAAAACCAAAACCCACTTCCACTGAAGATGACACAGTGTGTAGTGAAGCAGGATCAACAGGACGACTCTTTAGCAAGAACCGAATTCTTTAGCAAGAATGGAGTAGAGGGCTGGTGAGCATGACTTCAGATTGCTTATTCTACCAAGAAGCAATATCAAGAATAATTCTTGATCACTCCCACAAGTGGAGATCGAACTGGRTAGGGGCGGCAAGAACAGGGAAGAACTCTGCAGATTGTTGTGGTGTATAATTGAGGAATTCGCCCCCTTTATTTATAGCCTTCTCAGGATCAGCCTCCTAATCTAATTAGGAGAGAGTCCTTAATCCAAATCTGATATTTGGATCTAGACCCTTGAATGGATAAGACTTATCTTGTCATTTAGCTAATCCTAATTAGATTATAAATCCTATCTTGCCTCCTTTTAATTAACTGACTTAAGCCCAGTTCGAGTTGGGCTTTAGTCCCATTAAGTTTATGTGCTCACTTAACCTCTTAACCTACTGCCCAGTTGTCTCTCTTTGTATGGCATGGGACCCAAAAATTGATCTACACATCAGCCACATGGGTCAAGCCCAGCCTTTGTTACAAGGCCTGGCCAAATTCATTGTAGGACACAGTGAACCCCTGAGTCCATCGCTATGGGCTCTTAATGGGCCCAAAATTTACACTAAATGGTCATTGGGTCCAACCACCTTATGAAAACCCAAGGACTGTGGGCAGATACAAGATTAGCCCATCAGGTATTACCCTCAATGGTCTTACACTTAACCTCTTAACCCATAATGATCAAACACTGCCCGACAAGAGAGGACCTCTCCCTCGGTTGCAAGGAACAGTGCTGCACTCTCTGCTCACATGGATCCCGGGAATTAAAACCTTTTGCAAACATATTGAAACCATAATATATATATGTATATCTCTATATAAATATATTTTGCAAAAACAAATTTCAACAGTTGAAATCAACTGCTGGCAGTTTAGGTTTCCATCAGAGAGTGCATTCCCCGATCATTCACTTTGTCTGACAAAGGGGCTAATCCTGTCACTATGATCACCCACTCAGATGAATTCTTGGACTGTCCCAACATACCTAGGTTTTGACGCCTTCTAAGGATCTCACTGATTGGCACATCAAAGACAACCCAATCCGACACCTAGTGTAGTATCACAATCGAGTCTAGGGGTCAGGTGTAACATTCCAGTTTTGCCCATCTATCTCCAAGGTCCAGGGCAATACTAGAATTTTGGTCCGGTTTAGGGTTTCAAGAAAACCCACACTACATGTACCTCAGGTGTAACATTCCAGTTTATATGCTTGAATATGTTTTATATGCTATGTTTGATTTTATTTTTAAATTTTCATTTTTGAATATATTTTACATGTTATGTTTATGTATTTTAATTTGAGATAATATGTTTTTTAAAACATTCATTTTAAATATTATGTTTAAAATTTTAGTTCTTTTTTTCATTTTTTGATTTTTTGACATTTTTTTGAATTCTTAGTTTTTTTTTTTTTTTACTTTTTTTGCCTTGCTTAGAAAAGGCGTGTGCCTTGGGTACAAACTGTCCCTTGTGGATTTTTTGGGCCTTGCGCTTTTATAACACTGCCCTAAACCAACTGATTTCCATTGGTAAGGCCTGAAACAGGTTCATAACCTCAGCTGGCACCACCTGTTTCAAACTTATCTAGCTTCGGTAAAAAAATGTCATAATCTCCTTTTAAAAATGTTTGGGATGCACCAATGCAAATAGTTTCCTCCTAAAACTAACAGGATACTATCATTTGTGCAGCAAAACAAAACCATTTCTTGTTTTCATTAGTTAAGCTTGAAGTTTTGAGAAATGGATCAGGACATGTTGATTATAAGTGAATACCAAATTGTTCTTGAGTCTGTGCAGGGTTGTATACATGAAAGTTGGACTGCTACTGCCAAGCATCTATCAGATAATATTCCCTTTCTCTTGAAATTGGAGAATTTCAAAGATGCCCAGGAAGTTCTCTCGACCACATTGATGTCACTTCCAATCAACTTCTGGGAGTTTATTAAGTGGGTTGAAGAATTTAGAAGACGAGAAGAGGGGGCTTCAGTTTTGAGCAAAGAGATGAGAGGACTTTCTGTCAAGGTATGCCTTCCTGTTATGCCTTTTTCTTGGTGTTCACATACAGACATGTTCCATGATTCTGGTTCTACAAAAACACTTTAGGGCTGTAAACCTTGCAAACTCAATCTGTAGATGTTGCATCTCAATGTCACTATAAACTTAGGCTGTAAAAGTGCTTACATTGGTGCACTAGCTAAAGTCTTCGTGTGCAACATTTGGAGCTATAGCGCTTTGATGATATTATATTGAAAAACATGTTTCTGTACAATAGAATTTGCATACACTCTTGAATTTTTTTGTTTAGTTTTGATGCTCCAAGATTTTGGATTTCAGGATCAAGTATTGAGTCAAGTTCATGAGACTGAGCTATATAAACATGTTACCAAGTGGCTGTCATCTCAAAGTTCACACTGTACCACATCTAATGATGCTTCTTGTTGTAATGGAATTTATCCAGCTATCAATGAAATTGTAACTGTTCTATTATTGGCTTTGCCTCCATCTACATGGTCTGGTCTTAAAGATGCGGAGTTGTTGAAGGAAATTTATAGTCTTGTATCAATTGACAGTCTTCCCCTTTCACTTCAAGAGGAGGTTAGATAGATACATCTATCCTTAATGCATTTACTTTTCTTTTCATTATTTTTCTATTATTTAAATCTGTTAAATATTATTAATCAGAGGCTTCACTCATGCAAAATGAAATTTCATTGCTGTTGTCAAGAGAGTTGTGGACGGTCTACTTGAATAACTCGTGTAATTGGCTTTCAAAAGAAATGCTTGAGGATGTATGATCCACATCCGATATGAACATATAGATCATACTGTGAATAAACCCTAGTTGTTTCTAGGTCAAAGTAGAGAAGAAGAAAGAAGAAGAAAGAAAAGAGAAAGAAGAAGAAGGAGAGGAGAAGAGTATTCGGCCAGACTAGAAGAGAGGATGTACAAAAGTACCTCTCCTAGC